TTGGTTTCGACAGTGGTATCAGGGGGCCGACCTTGCAGAAAGCAATGGCAAACTACTGGACGTAAATTGCCTACAGAAACCACACAACCAGCTAAGGGCTGCTGGGGTGGGTTCTGCACCGTCCTGTCAAGGAAATGCAACTAACCTTATACTGTTACAAATATTATTTTCAACCAGTACTGAGTTACATAATTTGTAGGAACGACACCTTGTACTGGATTCATCGAGAAACGGCAAATCAAGTGGTTTGGCCATCTCGTTAGAATGCAGCCAGATCAAATACAATCACAAGCACTACATCTCAGAAGATCAGCTACAAGAACAAGAGGACGGCAGCGGAATAATGGATCGATAACATAAAAGACACTCTAAGCCATTCATAGCATGACAATAGCCAGTGACAGCCAACGTGCACTGGATCACAAATTATTCCTCCCCACAGCGCATAACGGCAGAAGTGGTTTATGATGATGATGATGACTGTTTTGCATGGTCAGCGTCTGTGACTAAGACGTTGCGAACTCGCTTCGTAATGCCCAGATAACGTGGTCGATCACAGCTACATGCGATTTGGCCGCAGACCGCCTTGCATTGGTTTACACGGTATTGAGAGCCGTTCGTTTCATAAGCAATGGCAAACTACTGAAAGTAAAAGTTTCAGAAAAACCACAAAGAGCAATAAAAAAATGAGGCTGGTTTTGAGTGAGTGACGTTCTACCCCAACCAGACCAGACAATGAACGATAAACACGAGTGACACAAAGTGCCACCATTCGGATAAGAATCACCCAATGCACAAGTCTCAGAAACCCTGTTGAACCGTAAGGTTATATCAGGGTCCCCACACTCTACCAGAAATGTCGTAAGAGGCGATCAAGGGTAGGGTTGGGCTAAGGGTTGGCTACCTCATCCTGTAAAAAAAATACTAGCCACATAAACCAGCCAACCATGATGGCAGATCGGGTGTGTTGAGTGAAGCGGAAACATGGAGAGCAATTAATAAACTACAGACATGCATTAACTGGTGCCTGCTCAGAATTACAGGAATTCTTCTTCTTCACTTTCACCAGCTGTACACTCTGGCGGAAAGTTCTGGTTTCTCGTCCACTGCTGAACTGCAGTCCTGCTCCAGAACCTGAGTGTGGCCTGTGCATCAGTTTTACAGATCTCATTCTCTTGAATACAGACTGTTGGTTCATTGCCTCTCCGGTAGATGCACTCCGACTTTAAAGGAAGCTCCCCAATTAGTCGACTCTTACAACATGATTTTGGGGAGG